GCGGCGGTGGCGGCGGGGGTCGAAGGGGAGGGCGGGGCCGGCGCGGCGGTGGATAAGATGGAGGTGGATGGGGTGAAGGTCGAGGCTGAGGTCGTCAAGGTTGAAGTGGAAGGGGCGGTTGCGCGGGCGGAGGTGGCTGTCGCGGCGGCAGAGGTGAAAGCGGAGGAGGTGAAAGCCGGGAACGGCGCGGCGGCCGGGAATGGCGGCGGCGGCGGTGAGGGCGGCGGCGGCGGTGAGGGCGGTGCGGGAGGTGAGGGCAGCGGCGGCGGCGGCGGCGGCGGCGTGACGGACGACATGCGTGTGCTACTGGACTGGCACTGGGCCAATCTGGAGTACGGCTGCAGCGCGGGGCTGGACGAGGTGCGCGGAGGCCGGCTGCGGCGGCCTTGGGTCACAGGGGTGTTGTGTGGTGCTCTTGTGTGTGTGTGGGGTGGGGGGCGGCCCGCAGGCGTGTTGGGGCTGCAAAGCTGGCGTCAGTGAAGGGGATCACCTATGCACGCAGTTCGGGTGGCGGGCACATCCGTGCGTCCGCCTTGGCTTTGGCGAGTGCAGATTTTCATCTTCTCTCCCGCTGGCCGTGTGCCTAGCTGGGCGCCTTTTACCTCCCCCTTGCCTGGCGTCGTGACCCGCCCCGCCCTCAAATATCCTTTCGCAGGTGTCATTGGCGCACTGGAACCAGGATGAGGAGCAGGGCGGCGGCTTTGGCGGGCCCCACTGCATGGTGGTCGGCGGTTACGACCAGGTGACCGCGGGGTGACACCCCGCGTGCGCGGGGTCGTCATGACTGGATGCGGCCGCGCATCAAAATTTGTCCGCGGGAACCTGCAGCAGGGACCAGGAAAGGGCGCGCCGCGTCCCCACCTCCCACCCCTGTTGCTGGTGGCGCTCTTGTCGTTTAATGGCCCCCGCATGCTTGTCTCGCTCGAAACCCGAGCAGCAACGTCCACACCCGGTCTCGGTGTCCACCTTGCTCAAACGTCCGGACCCACACCCACCCCACCCCACCCCGCCCCATCCAACCCCCACAGGTGGTCAAGGGATTGGCCCAGGGCATCGACATCCGCCTCAGCACGCAGGTCTCGTCGATCACATACGGCCGCGCCCTCGCAGCCGCCCTCGCCGCCGAAAAGGCGACGGCCGGCGCCGACGCGCAGCAGCAGCAGCAGCACCAGCAGCAGCAGCAGCAGCAGCAGCAGCCGCCGCGCGTGCGCGTGCGGACGGCGGGCGGCGAGGCGTTCGATGCGTCGCTCGTGTTGGTGACGGTGCCGCTGGGGGTGCTCAAAGCGGGGGACGTCAAGTTTGAGCCGCAGCTGCCGGCGTGGAAGGCGGACGCGGTCGCGCGGCTTGGGTTTGGGGACCTGAATAAGGTCATCCTGCAGGTGATCTGGCCCGGCGGGTGATCTGGCCTGTTCTGAGATCTGGGCGTGCGATTTGGGGGTTGTGTTCCTGCAAGGGGTTGCGTGGCAGAGTCTGCTCAGCGATGTCAAGTTGCGACGACGGCGGATGAAGTGACGCGGCCAATCCCACCGGGATACTAGTAGTGATGCTGGATACTTGCACGAGCGCGTGATCTTGCGTTGCAAGTGGGATTCCCACCGGCCCTCTGCCAGCAATACGACCCACTCGCAGCCCCAACCCCACGTCACCCGCAGTTTGAGAGCGTCTTCTGGGACGAGTCGCTCGACTACTTCGGCTGCCCGCGGCCGGGGGGCCCGGACGTGCGGGGGCGCTGCTTCCTCTTCTGGAACCTGGCTAGGTGAGACAGGGTTTTGTGGGGGGCAGGGGCTTTGCTGTGCGCGCGCGTGTGTGTGTGTGTGTGTGTGTGTGTGTGTGTCCACGTGCGTGTGTGTGTGTGTGCGCGTGCGCGCGCACTGCATTTTGACAGTGTGGTGTGCACACACGTGTGTGTGAGTACGTGTGTGCAATTGGGTGTTGCAAGCCCGTCATCACACGACCCCACTGCATGCGATTGTGCTGGCGCAAGGCATGGCCCGCCCCCTTCGCGTCCCGCCATGCCATGGGCTGGCATGCAATACAATGCAACCCGTGCGGCCGCACCTCGCGCCGCCGCCGCAGCGCCGCCGGCCAAGTGCATCCAGCGCCCCTGTCTCATCGCCCACACCCCCCCCCTCCCGCGCCTATGCGGTTCCCCGCGGCCCTCACCCTCTCTCCCGCGCCCCGCGTCCCCCCAAAACAGGTTTAATGGCGGCGTCCCGCTGCTGGCCTCGCTCGTATCTGGCCGCTCCGCGCGCGCGGCCGAGGCCGCGAGCGACGAGGATATGCGCGATGCCGCGCTGGAGGTGCGGGTTCGACAAAAACGGCGCACGAGGCGCCGTGCCTTGTGTGCCCTTCCTCGTTTGTTGAGGAGAGCGAGTGGGCAGGACAGCCCCTGGAGGCGTGCTCCGAGCTGCAGCAGCAGGCCGCTTCCAAAGCTCGCCCCTCTGCAGGTCCAGCCAGCCGCGGGGGGCCCCTTGGCATGCGCGGCCCGTCTGCATCACCCCCAAACACAGACACACACACGCAAACACACACACACACACACACACACACACACACACAAACGCGTGCGCGCACACGCGCACACACACACACATGCAACTTCCCATACACATCACAACACACGCGTGCGCGCCCACACACGCGCAGTCCCTCCGCGCCGCTTACGGCGCACGTGTGGCGCCCGTGGTTGCGTCCCACGTGACGCGCTGGGGGTCGGACCCCTTCTCCCGCGGATCCTATTCCTATGTGGCGGTGGGCGCCACGGGCAAGGACTACGATAAGCTGGCGCTGCCGGTGGAGAGCTGCGTGCTGTTCGCAGGTGCGGGGGGTGCGGGTGGGGGCTGTGAGGGCGGGGTTGACGGAGCTTGGGGCTTTGTGCATACATACGTGCATGCGCCTGGGCGCGACGGGGCAGGGGCACACGCATAGCGAAGGAATTTTCAAGTGTGTGTGTGTGTGTGAGTACAGGTTGGTCGCGCATGTTTCAAGAGTCGACAGAGGTGTTCCGCGGAGAGAGTTCCGTGATCTGTGATTTGAGATTGGATCGCGCCAACTGACCGCATCCGCGTGCGGCGCCGCAGGCGAGCACACCACCAAGGAGCACCCGGACACGGTGGGCGGCGCCATACTCACCGGCCTGCGGGAGGCGGCGTCGGCGCTGCGGCTGCTGCGCGGCAGCGACGGCGACGGCGAGGGCGGCGCGGCGGCGGCGGCGGGCAAGGCGCGGCGGCGGAAGGCGGCCGACAGCGACGACGGTGCGCGGCCTCCGATGTATGGGAAATGCGCGTTTTCGAGTGCTTTCGAATTTCCCGCCATCTTGCTGCTTGCTGTATCTGACAGGTCGATACACGCTTTTGTGGAACCGCCTTATCAGCGGTGTCTTCTGCACGACCAAGGTCACTAAACCCCTTTTGAAACCCCCGAAACCCCCAGGCCCGTCCGGCAAGGAGGACAAGCGCTCCCAGAAGCGGGCCCGCAAGGAGCCGAACAAGGAGAAGCGGCGGCGCGGCACCGGCGACGAGGGCGGCAGCGGCAGCGGCAGCGGCGACGGGGAGGGGGAGGAGGAGGGCGGCGGCGCGGCCGGCAAGGGGGGGAAGGCCGGGGGTGAGTGCGTGGTCCCGCGGGGCTCGCTGGTTGAGGCTGCGCGGCCAGGGGTGCGGCGCGCCGTGGGCGCCGCGCACGCGCGGCCTGCAGCCGTCACCTGGATCCCTGCAGCACCCCGGGCAGCTGGCCGCCCATGGGGGCGCGCGCGATCCCGCACGCTCACGGTGCTGGCTCACCACACACACACACACACACACACACACACACACACACACACATCCACCTCCAAACTCCCTCCAGGCCGCCAGGCGCGCTCCTCGCGGGCGCGGGCCAGCCTGTTTGAGGACCTTGATGCCCAGGTGGCCCTCGCGCAGAGCAGGGAGGGCGCGGTGGAGGTGAGGGGCGACATGGTTCACATGGTTGTGCCGTT